GCGAGCGGCCGAGCGTCTCCGTCGTCCGCGGGAAGAGGCGGAACGCGCTCGTGGCGACGTCGACCTCCGTGACGGGCTTCGCGCCGCGCGAGCGCCGCGGCGACCGCGGCGCCGCCGGCGGCGCGCCCGGCGGCGGCGCGAGGAGCAGGGACGGCGGCGCCGCCGGCCGCGCGTCGCGGCCGCGCATCGTCGTCTCCGCGACCTGCGACGAGTAGGCGACGGCCCAGGCGCCCGCGAAGCGCTTCGCGTCGAAGATGGCCGGCTGGAGGCCGCCGCCGGGGGGCTTGCGCGGGCCCGCGGCGTCCAACGCCTCCGCCGCGGCGCCGAGGGCCGCCGCGCGCGCGGCGACGCGATCCGCGTCCTCGCGCGAGCACCCGAGCCCCGCGTCGGACACGCGCGCGACGGCGGCGAGGAGCCCCGCCTTGGCGTCGGCGACGGCCGTCTCCGTCTGCGGGGTCGGCTTGGACGGCGGCGGGACCTCGGCCGCGGGCGCTGGCGCGGGCGCCGCGGGCGGCGCGGGCGCGGCGTCGTCGGCGCCGTCGCCGGCGGCGGCGTCGGCCGCGGCGGCGCGCTTCTCGGCGGCGTCCCGGTAGCGCACGGCCGCCTCGACGGCGACGGCCTCGAGGTTCTTGACGAGGTCCCCGGCGATGCGGTTCTCGACGAGGGCCACGGGGAGCCAGGGCCGCGGTTGGATCTCGACGGCGAAGGTCAGCCGCGTCTGGTCCTCGGGCCCGCAGTCCGGCAGGGGCTGCGCGCGCCAGAGGCCCTGGTAGAGCGTGAAGTCGCCGGGCTCGCCGGGCACGGAGACCATGGTGATGTCGCGGTTGAAGGCCGGGTCGCTCGTCGCCGCGGCCCAGGGCCGGGGGAAGAGGCCGCGCTCGAGCCGCTCCTTCTTCTCCGTCGCGCGGATGCCGTCCTCCGTCGCCGCGTCGACGCGGTCGAGCTCGCCGCGCCGGATCTGGCCCGCGGCGAGGCCGCCGCGCACCTCGGCGACGTCCAGCACCATGGACGCCTTGAAGTTGACGCCGGGCAGGACCTGCGCGGACCCGACCTGGCGGAGCCGCGCGCCGCCGCCGCCCGGCGGCTTGGCGATGACCTCGTTGGCGACGAGGTTCGGCACGACGTCGGCGAGGCCCTCGTAGTCCGTCAGCAGGTCCCAGACCGTGTCCACGTCCGCGCTGATGTCGACGCCCGTGTAGATGCGCCTCGCGTTGCCGGGCGCCGCGTCCACGCGCACGACGACCTCGCCGGGGATGAGGCAGAGGTCGTCGCCGAGGGACGTCGGCGACGCCTTCTTGCGCGCCTTGATCTGTCGGCAGGTCTCGCGGGTGGCCTTCTTGTCCGCGGTCGTCGCGGCGAGAGTGTTGCAGTGCCTCTGGCGAGGCGCGGGCCGCTGCGCGATCAGGGCGGCGCCGGGGCCGGCCAGGAGGAGGAGCGCGGAGATCGCGTGCATGGTGAGCCGCGCGCGTCGTCACGGCCACGCCATCTCGCTGCGCGCAACAGGTGCCAACTAATGGCAATGCCGTCACTCGGCTCTGCGACAACACGAGCCGACCTTCATCTCCGCGGCACCGTTCACCTGGAGCAGCCCATCGACAGCATGGACGGCGACGAAGCGGACGACGACGACGTGCAGATCGCGTTCATCGATAGCGACAGCGACAGCGACGAAGATCTGCGCGCCGGCCGCGAGGAGCTTCGCGCGCGGCGCGAGAACGACGACGACGACGACGACGACGGCCCGGCGCCTCCAGATGCAGCGCCCGCGGCGCCGGCGGCGCCGGCGCCGGACGCCGAGTCGTCGAGCGACAGCGAGCCCGAGTTCGAGGAGGTCGAGCCCGTCGTGCTGCCCGCGGCCGACGACGAGCCGCCGGCGCGGCCGCCCGCGCCGACCGCGCCGGCGAACGTCGGCGACCTGAGCCTCTTCGAGGCGCGCGCGGCGCTCG